GGAAGGGGATCGGGGAGGAACGTAGGTAGGGCAGGGGCGGGACGGGCGCAGCAGTAGTGGGCTGCGGCCGGCGGGCAGCGGGTGGCTCGCTCCAGGTGTCCTGCCTGGGTTTCCGGTTCCCGCGGCCGTGACAAGACCGGCCTATTTCGGCATCTGCAAAACGAAGCAAAATGGAGAAACCTTTTTGTCAAGGAGCATCTCCAACACATCCCCTTTCACTAATAAAAGAAAACCAGAAGATGCTATTGACCGAGCACCACTACCTCCAAGGCCATGTTTGTCTCAGCTTCAGACGGCTTCAAATCACCTATAAATTCGCTCCGTTGACAAAGCTGATTTGCATAATCATCTTCGCCGCTCAAGTGCACCTGGACATGCTTCGGACAATTGCACTGGAAATGGCTTGAATTCAGGTTGCGCTTCATTGGATAAGTAGATTCCAGATAGCTGTTTGTTCGGGCTTCTGGGTTTTTTCCTACAAGAATTTGCTTCCTAAAACTGAAACAGACAGAGCGCTGAGTACACGCAATTGCACCACACCGAAAATCACTAATTAAGGCTATCTTTTGATCGGGCAGTCCGCCGGGTCACCGACCGGTCACGAAAATGTGACCCAGACAGCCACCTCAGACGGGCCTCCTGGACTGACCCGGATCCCTCGTATCCAACTCAAACATGAAGGCGCCCGGGTGTGTCCGTCACGTCGGACCAAGCTCACGCTGGCCCACCTGACCACACATACATTCCTCCCTGTCCACTCGTGGACCAAACTCTAGTCACTTCACTCCACTCGCCACCACTCCCCTCCATCACCCAAGCTCACCTCCGGTGGTCTCTGGCAGTCATCGGCATGGCGGGCAGCGGATCCGAGTCCTTCACCTCCAGATATGGGCACTCGACGTCGTGGTATCAGCCGAAGCCTTCTTGACGTCAGCGACTCAGCGGCGCGCGCCGGGTTGGACCGCGTAAAGCAACTTCCTTCGTAATGGAGGTTGCTAGGTCTGCTCACCGGCCGCGTATGCAACGTGCAGGTGTGCAATGGGCGATGGGCCCAGACCCCTGCGCGCTTAGGATTTAGACCGGCGTGCTGACCTCTCTGTTGTGCCTAGGTAGGGCTACGACGTGTCGATCTTCCGACGTGGGTCATACCACATGACCTCACGCTCGCCAGAGGGATCGAGCGTGTTGGGTAATGTGGTGCACCCCTGCAGGGAAGTTTATCTATTCGAATAGCCGTGTCCCTCGGTAAAAGGACGACCCGGAGTTGTACCTTGACCTTATGCCAACTAGAACCGGATACTTAATAAAACACACCGATACAAGTTTCAGAGATAACCCGGTGATCGCTTTCCCACAGGGCGACGAGGGGAGGATCGCCGGGTAGGATTATGCTATACGATGATACTTGGTGAACTTACCAGCTACTCTCTTCTATGTGCTTCAAGATGGAGGCTGCCAGAAGCATAGTCTTCGATAGGACTAGCTATCCCCCTCTTATTCTGGCATTCTGTAGTTCAGTCCACAAATACTACCCATTTCATTCATACCAATGCATATGTAGTGTAGATCCTTACTTGCGAGTACTTTGGATGAGTACTCATGGTTGCTTTGCTCCCTCTTTTCCCCCTTTCCATTCTTCTCGGTCGTCGCAACCAGATGCTGGAGCCCAGGAGCCAGACGCCACCGTTGACGACGACTCCTACTACACCGAGGGTGCGTACTACTACGTGCAGGCTGCCGCCGACGACCAGGAGTAGATTAGGAGGATCCCAGGCAGGAGGCCTGCTCCTCTTTCGATCTGTATCCCAGTTTGTGTTAGCCGTCTTATGGCACCTTGTTTAACTTTATGTCTGTACTCAGATATCGTTGCTTCCGCTGACTCGTCTATGATCGAGCACTTGTATTCGAGCCCTAGACATGATCAGCACCAAGACTCCATGGGTGTTAGAATCATTACTATGTAATCTAGATTATTGACTCTAGTGCAAGTGGGAGACTGAAGGAAATATGCCCTAGAGGCAATAATAAAGTTGTTATTTATATTTCCTTATATCATGATAAATGTTCATTATTCATGCTAGAATTGTATTAACCGGAAACTTAGTACATGTGTGAATACATAGACAAAGAGAGTGTCCCTAGTATGCCTCTACTTGACTAGCTCGTTAATCAAAGATGGTTAAGTTTCCTAGCCATAGACATGTGTTGTCATTTGATGAACGGGATCACATCATTAGAGAATGATGTGATGGACAAGACCCATCCGTTAGGTTAGCATAATGATCGTTTAAGTTTTTTCTGCTATTGCTTTCTTCATGACCTATACATGTTCCTATGACTATGAGATTATGCAACTCCCGAATACCGGAGGAACACTTAGTGTGCTATCAAACATCACAACGTAACTGGGTGATTATAAATATGCTCTACAGGTGTCTCCGAAGGTGTTTTTTGAGTTGACATAGATCGAGATTAGGATGTGTCACTCCGTGTATCGGAGAGGTATCTTTGAGCCCTCTCGGTAATGCACATCACTATGAGCTTTGCAAGCAATGTGACTAATGAGTTAGTCAGGAGATGATACATTACGGAACGAGTAAAGAGAATTTCCGGTGACGAGATTGAACTAGGTATGATGATACCGACGATCAAAACTCAGGCAAGTAACATACTGATGACAAAGGGAACAACGTATGTTGTTATGCGGTTTGACCGATAAAGATCTTCGTAGAATATGTAGGAGCCAATATGAGCATCCAGGTTACGCTATTGGTTATTGACCAGAGATGTGTCTCGGTCATGTCTACATAGTTCTCGAACCCGTAGGGTCCGCACGCTTAACGTTCGATGGCGATTTGTATTATGAGTTTTGTGTTTTGATGAACCAAAGTTTGTTCGGAGTCCCGGATGAGATCACGGACATGACGAGGAATCTCAAAATGGTCAAGACAAAAAGATTCATATATTGGAAGGCTACATTCGAACACTGGAATGGTTCGGGTCGTTTCGGATAAGTTTCAGAGTACCGGGGGTTACCGGAACCCCCTCCGGGAAGTTAATGGGCCATCATGGGCCTCAGTGGGGAAGAGAGAGGGCCGGCCAGAGGTGGTGCCCCCCCTTGTCTAGTCAGAATTGGACAAGGGGAGGGAGCGGCATCCCCCTCCTTCCTTCTCTTCTTTACTCCTTCCCTTCTTCTCCTACTTGGACTTGGAAAGGGGGGGGGGAGGATGAATCCTACTTGGACTAGGAGTCCAAGTAGGACTCCCCCCATGGCGCGCCCCCCTCTAGGGCCAGCCACCTCTCCTCCCCCCTTTATATACGTGGGAGGGGGCACCCCAAAGGTACACAAAAAGTTTCTCTTAGCCATGTGCGGTGCCCCCCTCCATAGTTACACACCTCGGTCATATCGTCGTAGTGCTTAGGCGAAGCCCTGCGCCGGTAAACTTCATCATCACCGTCACCACGCCTTTGTGCTGGCAGAACTCTCCCTCGACCTCACCTGGATCAAGAGTTCGAGGGACGTCATCGAGCTGAACGTGTGCTGATCGCGGAGGTGTCATACGTTCGACACTTGGATCAGTTGGATCGTGAAGACGTTCGACTACATCAACTGCGTTACTAAACGCTTCCACTTTTGGTCTAAGAGGGTACGTAGACACACTCTCCCCTCTCGTTGCTATGCATCTCCTAGATAGATCTTGCGTGATCGTGGGATTTTTTTTTGGAAATTCTGCGTTCCCCAACAGTGGCATCCGAGCCAGGTCTATGCGTAGATGTTATATGCACGAGTAGAACACAATGAGTTGTGGGCGATAATAGTCATACTGCTTACCAGCATGTCTTACTTTGATTCGGCGGTATTGTTGGATGAAGCGGGCCAGACCGACATTACATGACCGCGTTCATGAGACTGGTTCTACCGACATGCTTCGCACACAGGTGGCTAGTGGGTGTCTGTTTCTCCAGCTTTAGTTGAATCGAGTTTGACTACGCCCGGTCCTTGTTGAAGGTTAAAACAGCACACTTGACGAAAAATCGTTGTGGTTTTGATGCATAGAAAAGAACGGTTCTTGCTAGAAACCCACAGCAGCCACGTAAAACTTGCAACAACAAAGTAGAGGACGTCTAACTTGTTTTTGCAGGGCATGTTGTGATGTGATATGGTCAAGACGTGATGATATATAAATTGTTGTATGAGATGATCATGTTTTGTAACAGTTATCGGCAACTGGCGGGAGCCATATGGTTGTCGCTTTATTGTATGAAATGTAATCGCCATGTAATTGCTTTACTTTATCACTAAGCGGTAGTGATAGTCGTAGAAGCAATAGTTGGTGAGACGACGACGATGCTACGATGAAGATCAAGGTGTCAAGCCGGTGATGATGGTGATCATGATGGTGCTTTGGAGATGGAGATCAAAGGCACAAGATGATGATGGCCATATCATATCACTTATTTTGATTGCATGTGATGTTTATCATTTATGCATCTTATTTTGCTTAGTACAGCGGTAGCATTATAAGATGATCTCTCACTAAATTTCAAGGTACAAGTGTTCTCCCTGAGTATGCACCGTTGCTACAGTATGTCGTGCCGAGACACCACGTGATGATCGGGGTGTGATAAGCTCTAAGTTCACATACAATGGGTGCAAGCCAGTTTTGCACAAGCAGAATACTCAGGTTAAACTTGACGAGCCTAGCATATGCAGATATGGCCTCGGAACCCTGAGACCGAAAGGTCGAGTGTGAATCATATAGTAGATATGATCAACATAGTGATGTTCACCATTGAAAACTACTCCATCTCACGTGATGATCGGACATGGTTTAGTTGATATGGATCACGTGATCA